TTTCAACATATATCCAGTTATTAATTTTAATCATTCGACTTGGTTTTTAAATGTCTCTATAGTTTTTATTCATTTTTATTTCAGTTTTAATTTTAGTACATCAATTTAAACTAGATGAAAATAAGAAATGTTGCCATGGTAAATAGCTGAAATAAAACGATTACATTGTTTTATTTTGATTTCAGAGTTACATTTATTTCAGCAATATTTTCAAAGTTTTTGTGTACTATTGTTTATCTCAGCTTTTATTTTCCAGTGTAGTGCTTCAATTTAAACTCATTTCAGTTAGTTTTTAAATGTCTATATAGTATTTATTAACTTCATTTCAGTTTCAGTTGCAGTCATTTTAGCGCATCAGGTTAAAGTAAATGAAAATGAGAAATTTTGATATTTTAGTTCATGTTAGTATAACCCTGTTATAAACGTGGTCCCGTCTCTATCCAGCAGCTTATTTGCACTGTTTTTGTCACAAACGCTGGATGCATTAAAGCACAGGATGCAGTTAGACTGACAGATAACTGATGGCGAAGCTGAAGAAGAAAAGCACACCTGTTAGAACTATAGAGAAAGCCATTCAAGCCTTCGACCGGGAGGTTAACAGATAGTCAACAGTACAGCAGGAGATTTGAATTGCCTTTGTCCCAGTTTAGGTGACATAAACCCGACAGACAATCAACTGGAAAGTGAAATAAAAGCAACATTTTCCTAGCAGTGCGGCTGTGAATGCTGTGCCCTTCAGCCCCGCACCGCCAGAGGACCATTTGCATGGCAGGTCCAGTTAAATGAGGAGACCAGATTCTCTCTACCTGCCATGCAAACCAGCGGAGCAGCAGTTAAAGCACAGGTGTGTCCTCCTCTCTCCAGAGATATGGAAATCATCCGCTCTCAGATTGACTCTCTAGACACTGAGCCGTAAAGCAGAGCCAAGCCGGTCTGAAGATGCCTCGCTCGTTCCTGGTCAAGAGAAAGCAGTCGGCCTGCGCTGGATGGCAGTGGCAGGAGCCGGAGCCGGAGCCGGAGCCCTGCTTCAGTCCAGACACAGGTACCCACATCTCAGAATAACGACAGAAATCAGCAGTCCGTCTTCATTTCTTCTCCTCGTGGCGTCCGAGCCTGACTGGGCTTCTTCTGCGTAACACAAAAGAAGAAAACTGTTCACTGTCCATACAATGAAAGCCAATGGGGTCCAGTGTGGTTTGGTTGCAGGGTTGAGATTGAGCTTTTGATTCACAAGCGTGCGATTCCATTCAATTTGAAATACAGTAAAAATTTTAAATATTATTATCATTTAAAATAGCTGTTTTCTATGTGAATATCTGTTAAAGTGTAATGTATTTCTGTGATGCGCAGCTGTATTTTCAGCATCATTCCTCCAGTCTTCAGTGTCACATGATCTTCAGAAATCAGTATAATATGCTGATCTGCTGCTCGAGAAACATTTCTGATTATTATCAGTGTTGAAAACAGTCGTGCTGCACAATATTTTTGTGGAAACTGTGATGCATTTTATTTTTCAGGATTCACAGATGAACAGAAAGTTCAGAAGAATAGCATTTATTAGAAATAGAAATCTACTGTAACATTATGAATGTCTTTGCTGTCAATTTTGATCAGTTTAATGCATCCTTAATAAATGTATTAATTTCTTAAATAAAAACAAACAAATGGAAAACGCTACCAACCCCAAATTGTTTGCGATACTATTACTATTACTAGTTTTTATTAATATTTTGAATTAGTTTTATTTCTGGGTTTCCTTTTTTCATTTTAATTTTAGTTAAACTTTTAGTTTTTGTGTTTAGTTTTTTAATACATGTTGATTTAGTTTTTATTAATTTCTATTCTAGTTTAAAGCTGGAAATGAATTTTTATTTTTTTTTTTACATTTTATTTAATTTCAATTTAATTAGTTTCAAGTTTGTTTCAAATCTGATTCATTTGGATACATAGGCAATCAGGTACAGTAAAGAAAATCTCTCAAATAATGCTGTGAACTATACAACAAACCTGTCAGTCGCTACACTACTCTATTTTTATTTGTTTATTTTTATTTAATAAAAATTAAAATACAAACTTTTTAATTTGATCATAATTTTATCATTAAACTAAAATAATTACTCTATTTTAATCATAAAAGAAACATTGTGTTTTCTTTTTTATTCTATTTTAATGATTTAATTATAACTCATTATTTATCGACAGTATTCACAATATTCTAATTTAATGATAAAACACACAATGGTAGTTTCTGTGAGTTGTCACTTTAGTTTGTTGCTGAAATATTAACATTTAAACAGTGGATGTCATAACTGGTTTTCATGATAGATTTATTAAAACATTCATAAATATCATGTAATATAGTGCGCATGTTTATCATAATGCGTTCTTCTGTTTCTTTCAACACCTTCTGATGTTCAGTTTTGTTCAGATTTGTTCAGATTTGTTCGCTCATCAACTGCAAACAACACAGATCAATACTTGATACTTAAGAATCGATATCGTCATCAAAATCAGAAGTATCATTACAATACTGTACTGTACTGTACAATACAGAACTTATTAAAATCAGGAAATCTGTATTTTCAACCCAGCTCTCTTCAAATAGTGTTTCACAGAAGAAAGAAAGCGGGTGAATAAATGATCGATTTTTAAACACTTCAGATCTGAATGAACCGGAAATGCTGTATGTGTTATGCATTTATGTAAATATATTCATCAAAAGCCAAACTGTGCTCAGATAGGCAGTGAAGTCAGATCTCAAACAGACTCTTGGATGAGAACTATTGACTCATACGAGTGCTTCATTTCTCCTGAGCTGGAAAATACTTTATCAAACATGATTTTAGAGCTTCAGATGAATCTCTGTTGACTCAGTGTGAATAACTGAAAATCCAAATTACACTCTTAAAAATCAAGATGCTTCACGGTGACGCCACAGAAGAACCTTTCTGTCTAAATGGTTCCTTAAAGAACCTTTAACATCTGAAGAACCTTTCTGTTTCACTAAAGCTTCTTTGTGGCGAAAGAAGGTTCTTCAGATTACAAAAAGCTAAGAAAGAGACGGTTCTTTAAAGAACCTTTGACTGAATGCTTCTTTGTGGACCCAAAAATGGTTCTTCTATGGCATCGCTTGAAGAACCTTTTGAAGCAGCTTTATTTTTAAGAGTGTACATGTGCTTTATTTGATCAAGTTAAAGACTTTCACTTAAGAATAGTTCTCAGACGTTTAGGAAACGTTGTGTCCGTTCTTTCAGTCATTAAAGAGATTCATTTCTTTACATTTGAAACATTTTAGAAACAAAGAAGCATTACAAAGGGATATTTGTCTGAGCGAAATATATAATAGCAGCCAAAGAGATTAATTTCTCAGGAGTTATACAGTACACAGTTTACATAATTATCATCTTTTACTACACTGGTTTATTTTGGGACTCTGTGGGTTTTATTATGTCTAGGATTGTTATTTTTAGGTTATTTATTATTAATAATATAAATAAAAAATACATTATTAATAACAATAATTATTATTATCATTGTATATTATTATTTTTTGTTTATTTATGTGGTTGCATCTATGCTTTGCTAAAAAAACAAATGGCAGTCAGTAACTGTGTACCGTGTGTGTTTCAGCATCTGTTCAGAGTCCCAGCGCTGGTCTGGAGTCAGTGTCTGAGCGCGCTCGTGCCGTCCACAAACACACAGCTGCTCTGGAGCATCACAGGGAGGGTTATGGGATGGAGAGGGTTCAGCCGTCACACAGTTCTCTTCCTCCTCCAGCGCTGGCCTCAGCGCCGCTCAACAAGGTGAAGCACCTGCAGATCCTCAGGGTTTGGACCTGCGTGCTCAGGCAGCTCATGTGTGTCTCACTCTGCTTCCAGGCACGTGAATCCAGCGGCTCGTCGGAGTTCCTGTGCTCCGTGTGTCATAAAGAGTTTCCTCTGCAGCGCATGCTGACGCGTCACCTCAAGTGCCACAGTATGCTCAAGAGACACCCCTGCAGGTTCTGCGGGAAAGGCTTCAACGACACCTTCGACCTGAAGAGACACATGAGAACACACACCGGTGAGATCACGTCACTCAGACTCACACCTAAACATTCCTGCTAGCTGAAGGAACATATTAAAAACTTTTTATTTCAGATAGTTGCCAAGGCAGCATCTCTCATTTGATGTACTAAAAGAACTAAAACTAAAATAACGGTATGTGTGTGTGTGTGTGTGTGTGTGTGTGTGTGTGTATACACATAAAAATGACAAAATCTATTTTTGCAATCTCAGCAAGGCTGCATTTATTTGATCAGGAATACAGTAAAAATGTGAATTATTATTAGAATGTAAAACAGCTGTTTTCTATGTGAATCTCTGTTAAACTGTAATGTATTTCTGTGATGTGCAGCTGTATTTTCAGCATCATTCCTCCAGTCTTCAGTGTCACATGATCTTCAGAAATCAGTATAATATGCTGATCTGCTGCTCGAGAAACATTTCTGATTATTATCAGTGTTGAAAACATTAATATTTTAGTGGAAACTGATGCATTTGATTTTTCAGGATTCACAGATGAACAGAAAGTTCAAAAGAACAGCATTTATTAGAAATAGAAATCTACTGTAACATTGTGAATGTCTTTACTGTCACTTCTGATCAATTTAATGCATCCTTGATAAATTTATTAATTTCTTAAATAAAAACAAACAAACAGAACACCCTACCAACCTCAAACCTTTTGAGATACTTTTAGTTTTTATTAATATTTTGAATTAGCTTTATTTCTAGATTTTCTGTTTTCATTCTACTTTTGTAGTTAAAATGTTGGTCATTTTGTTTAGTATTTTTTATACATGTTGACATAGTTTTTATGCATTTTTATTCCAGTTTGAAGCTTAAACAAAATACTTTTTACAAAATATTTTATTTCATTTAGTTTTATTTAATTCAAGTTTTTTATGGTTTTAGTTTTAGTTAAGTCAAGTAATGTTTATTTTGATAGCGCTTTATACAGAAGAGACTGATTCAAAGCAGCACCACAGCATTAAACAGGTTAAACAGTTAAAGGTGCAGTACGTGATTTCTGAGAAAAGCTGTTAATATCTGAAACCACCAAAACAAACACGCCCCTACCTAAAGGATCACACCCCTAGCTTGTTAGCTCCGCCCCCAAATTCACAAACACTGTGCAACACAGGCACCTCCCCCATCATGAGTGGACACGCCCCTTACTGCTGATTGGCTACGAGTGTATACTGCGCGTGCATACTACTGTACTAACCCTGATTCCTAGCAGTAAGTAGGTTTTCATACATGTCTCTCTCTCTCTGCACACAGGCATCCGTCCGTACCGGTGTGATCTGTGTGAGAAAGCCTTCACGCAGCGCTGCTCTCTGGAGTCTCACCTGCGGAAGATCCACGGTGTGCGGCAGCAGTACGCATACCGCCAGCGGCGCTCCAAGATCTTCGTGTGTGAGGACTGCGGCTTCACCTCCAGCCGGCCGGACGAATACTTCCTCCACATCAGACAGCAGCACCCGAGCAGCCCGGCGCTGCGCCGTTATTACCGCAAACACATGCTGGAGAGCCCCCCGCAGCACAGCATCGCCCCCTTCATGCTGTACCCCGCCGCAGGACTCTACATGTGAAGCACAGCAGTGCCGTTAGACTACATGCATACTATGCACAGGATACTCACACGACAGGGGTTCATATCTTCATTCTGCATCTCCAGTAAATGATTCTTGATTTAAGGATTTAATGCCACGACTTTATGAATTTAAGACTTTCTGCTCTGATTTACAAACTTTTAAGGCTTTAGTTTGTGGAAGGGTGAATTAAGATGTTTTAAGACCTGTAGAAACCCTGCATGATATTAAACACGCAATATTATCTTCATTATTTTGGCACTTGAGGAATAAAACATGCAGCAGAGATGACTACAATGTAACAACCTTCTGTTCTGAATATATATCTTTGCATAATGTGTGCTATTTCACATACTATTTTTCTTAAATAGTAGGAAATATTCTGTTCACTGCATTCTATTCAACTGTTTTTAGAATAAATTAAAATAAATCTTTTTTATTTCTTAAAAATATTGAATACCACTCAGATTAATCTTTGAACAGTATATTGTATTATGAATTTTGATCTAAACAATTTATTAATATAATGTAATATAATACTTAAATATTATTATTTGATGTGAGCAGCTATTTAACAGTTTTGAAGACATTTTAAGACGCTTTCAAGACCTTAAAATAAGAGTTATTATAAAAAGACACAGTATAGAATACAGCAATATACAAGTCACAAACGACAAAGGATTGTTACAGAAAATATGTTTTAAAATATAATTTTTCATTTTAATAAATGAGAACATGTATCATTAATATAAAATATTTCCACATAATATCACTAAATGATATCTATATTTATTCCATGAAGGTAAATGACGACATAATCCTCTCTTTAGGATGAATTGTTTCTTTAAGGAAGAGTTTCCCAAACTAGGTTTCATGAGCTTATGAAAAGCTAATAATTAATAAAATAAGAAATATTAATAAGTAAATAATGTATAAAGAAAAACAATCAAAATTTTGTTTCCTGCTTATCAACTGACATCAGAGAACCGTGAACATGTTGATAAATTATTGAAATATTAACTTTATTAAATATTAACACAGTCAGACCAGCAAACGGTCAAACGCATCCATGGCTTGGGATTCACCACTAGGGGGAGTAATGCACTGATGAACAATGACAGATGATGATACTGAACACAACATCAACCTGTATGTCACGTGTTATCATATAACAGCAGAGGAAAAAACACACTCACTCTGGATGATGTGTCTGCAGCTGTCCCAGTCAAAATCACACGGGCCACTGTGTTCACCATCAGAACCTCAACCTGAAACTGACAGCTGATCATCACAAGAGACAGAAGCCACACCCACTCCATTCTGAGGATAAAAGCCACGCCCATTCCATCCAGAGGATAAAGACCACGCCCACTCCACAGAACAGAAGCCACACCCACTCAATTTAGAGGACAGAAACCACACCCACTCTATCCAGAGGAGAAAAGCCACGCCCACTCCATACTGAGGACAGAAACCACACCCACTCCATACTGACTACAGAAGCCACACCCACTCAATTTAAAGGACAGAAGTCACACCCACTCAATTTAAAGGACAGAAGTCACACCCACTCAATTTAAAGGACAGAAGTCACACCCACTCAATTTAAAGGACAGAAGTCACACCCACTCAATTTAAAGGACAGAAGTCACACCCATGGCTTCGGCACGGTGCTAAAAAGTATAGTATTGGATACGTTCCCCGTAGCATTTTACGCAACGTGAGAGACCGTTATCTCAGAGAACCGAGGTTATGATAGCAACCGAGCACTCTGTGTCTGACTTTCTTTATTTTACAGTATGATGGCATTATTACAATAAAGTTCTTATTTTGCTCAATATTTTTATTTTGTAATAATCACACTGAAAAACATCAGAATTTTATATTTTATAGTCATGCTGAATTGGGCAAGGGAATGTGGCCTATGAAAAATAAATAAAGTT